CTACCTACACTCCCAGAACCATAATTCACTATTGTTTTTAAATACCGTCCAGGTTGGTACTTAGCAGAATGGCACTTAGAATAACATTCAATTATTTTAAAGAAACCAGGAACCATGAGATAAACATCTTAAATTTCAATACCACCCAACCTTTTAATAATATTTATTATATTGAAGTGTGGCTGTTGGCAAGTAGCTTTATTTTCCTAAACAAAAACCCAAAACCCTACGAAGTCCTTAAAGCAGGGGGAATTTCACGTTTGAGTAACCTTCGGGACCTCATACAGAAGCAATTCAACAAACACTTGTGAAGTATTATCAACTTAAGCCAGTGTTGTGGTCCACGTCTGTAATCCCAGCACTGGGAGGTAAAGGCAGGAGGTTAACGAGTGCAGGACCAGCATCAGCTACACAGCAACTTAGAGGCCAATCTGGATTACATGAGACCCTCTTTCAAAAAATAACAAAACCCACTAACATTTCTATGCTTTGTTTCCTTCAAGTCTTTGTGCCAAAGTTTAAAGCAGAAGTTAAGACAACATAGCCTTTCATTATTTTATTCTTTTGAAGACAGGGTCTCTATGTAGACCAGACAGACCAGGCTGGCCTCAAACTCAGAGATAGCCACCTGCCTCTGTCTCCAAGTGTTGGAATTATGTCTGGCTCTGACTTCTCATTTGTAAAACAGTGACTATTAGAAAACCTCACATTACTGGTAACAGTCATATCATGATGTCAACAAAGCCCTAGAAAAGTAGTGACTCAGCACACGAAACCCAGGGCATAGTCAAAGTGGACAAGAAGGCATCTGAGAGGTCACGGGCAAACATTCAGTAGACAAGGGAGCATGGGGCACCCTTGGAACTCCAGCACTTGGGAGGATCAAACTTCAAGGCCATCCTTAGCTAGTTGAAGGCCAGCTTTAAACTACCCAATCTTTTTTTTTTTTTTAAGGGATGTGGTGGTGGATATAAGACTCTGAAAGATTTAAATCAACTGCCCAAGATTACAGAATACAAAAACTACAATTTAAGTCTTCCAAGTATCTTTCCAAAAAGAACTGCTTCATGAGCTGGGGTAAAAAGGCTACTTTGAGGAACATTTTGAAGATATTTGGAAAAAGAAACAATCTTTATCAGTACACTTCTTTTTAGGAAACTTCTTTACTTCTGGTAAGATAGGCCATCACTGAAGGGATGGAAGTTAATTTGCTTCTTTTATTGCAGATAACACCTTCTTTTCCCCCTTTTTAAAGTCTACATATTTCATTTTCACACCTTGTAACAACCTGAAACAACTTCTTTGCAACCTCATTTAACTACTCTCCCTTGTACCCATTTCCTCTCTATTATCAGTCACAAATCACATCACCATATCCTTCCTTTCTCTCCATAGCTATCAAAAAGAGCAGCACAATTAAACAAGCATTTGATTACAGCAAAAGAGATTCCTTTATATAAGCCAATCAAAGCCTTCTTCTGTCTTAAGCATTTATAAAGCAACTAGTTAACACAAACACAAACTAAATCAAAAGGTCACACAGGTGAGAGAGTAACAAACACTAACGCTCACAGTGAGGACAAAGCATGAATGGCTATGCCAACACACGTGGTAATGACGGTGATTGGCAACTAAGTCTCCAGGTTATGAGGCACTAATCCTCAGGAACCACTTTCTTTTCCATTCTTCATTCTTTGCTTTTCTTCTTTTGTTGTATATTTGTGTGTATTTTTTGAGATGAGGTCTCAGGTAGTGCAGGCTACCTCATACTTGCTATGTAAACAAGGATAGCCTTATACTCTGGATCATCCAGCTTAGGTTGCCCTAGAACTCACTATGTAGACGGTAACTTACAAAGATCTGCCAGTCTCTGCCTCCCAAGAGCTAGGATTAAAGGAAGAATGTGCCGTGATGCCCTGGGTGTGCATATGATGGTCACTGGACAACTCCTGGGAGTCAGCTTTCTCCTTCTACCATGGAGTCTTGGAATCTAACTTGAGTCACCAAGATGTTCAACAAGCACTTATATTTGCTGCCCCATCTCACTGGTAATGAATGCTCTGTGTGTATGTGTATATATGTGTGTGTGTGCACTCACTTGTGCATGTGTGTAGTATAGGATACATGTATTTTGGGTACATAAGTATTGAGGCTAGAAGTAGACAGATGCCAGCTTGCTTGCTTGCTTTCTATCTTTAAGACAATTTTATTAGAATTTAAAAAAGAAGAATGTGAGAACAGGCAAGCTGAAAATTCCAGCAGCTGTGAGAAGGGAAATGACAAGAGGAAAAGAAAAGGCATGCCATTTAAACCAACATGTTCAGCACTGGAGGTTAGCCGTGTGATGGACAAGCAGTACGGATGAAAGTGGGGAGAGGGCTATAACTTCAAAAGCAAAGAAAAGCGTGAAAGCCCAGCGTACCATGGAAAGTGTGATTTGGAAAGAGACAGAGGGGAAGGCAAAGGAAAGACTCAGAGAAGAGGGTACATTTAACACAGTTATGTGGCCTTAGTTCCATAAGCAACTGCCCAGTTCTCTCCTGTTTTACATCTTTGTTTCTTGAGACTGGATCACTCTCACTGATCCTGAGGCCCACTGATATTTCTAGGCAGGCTAGTGAATGAGTTTAGAGATTTGTCTGTCTCTGCGCCACACTCCCCAGTGTGGGCGGGAGTTACAGGCACAAGCCACTGTGCCTGGCCTTTTAGGTGGGTTCTGGTGACCCAAACTCCGGTCCTCATGCTAGTCTTAGGCAGACACTAGACTAACTAAGCCATTTCCAGAGCTCAAATTTTACTTTTAGTGAATTTCAAGTCCCTTATTATTACTGGGTTTTGAAGGAGATAAGAAGACAGAAAGTCTCGCCAGGTAGCCCAGGCTAACCTCAAATTCACAAGTTTCCTACTTTAGTCATACAAGAGCTGGGATTACAGTTATTAGCCACTATGTCCAACAGGTATTCAAATTGTATTCATTTGTACCTCTTAAGTTTGTATCCTTTGTCCAATACCTCCCCATTTTCTGTACATAACTATTGGTAGCACCCTTCTCTCCATTTCTAAGAGTGCCTTTATTCTATATATAAGTAAAATCATACATTTGTCTGTGCACTATTTTACCTGACATAATGTCTTTCAGGTTTATCTATGTTCTTCCAAATAGGCAGACTTCCTTCTATTTTAAGGTCAAGTGATACTTCCTATTACACATATACATCACATCATATATGTGTGTATGTTCACATTTACCCATTTATCTATTAACAGACATAGCTATGTTTCTATAATCTTGGTTATTGTAAATAACACTGCACAAACCTGTAGCAGTGCAGGTATTTCTCAGAGGTAGTGATTATAATTCCTTTGGGAATATACCCCCAAATTCCCTCTTAAGTTTCCTTACCTAACAGTGGTAGTTCACTTTCACCTGCACTACTTCATTTTATATTTTTCTCATTACCCTTCCCCCCATCTTTCTCTATTCTGTTTTGTTTTAAGGAGACAGAATCTTACTGTGTGACACCGGCTGACCAGAGCTTGCTCTGTAAACAGGCTGGCTTCAAACTCACAGAGATCCACCTGCCTCTGATTCTAGAGTGCTGGGATTAAAGGTGCACCACCACCCACAGCTCTGCTCTTTCTTGATCTATGTTTATAAACTTGTCTGCATGTCTGCCTGCACACCAGAAGAGGGCGCCAGATCCCATTACAGATGGTTGGGAGTCACCATGTGGGTGCTAGGAACTGAACTCAGGACCTCTGAAGAACAGTTGGTGCTCTTAACCTTCAAGTCATTTCTCCAGCCCCTTTTATGTCCTCTTAAAGTGAGTCTATATTATGTTTTCCTTAATAATAATACCAATTTGTCCTATATTATAGAACTAGATGTCTTAAGCTAAGAATTCATTTTCTTTCCTTTTTTTCCAAACAGGTCTCATGTATCCCAGGATAGCCTCAAATCTACTACACAGCCAAAGATGACCTTGAACTGCTGATGATCCTGAGACCACAGGCTTGTGCACTAGGGACTGAATTTAGGGCTTCATGCATGTTAGGCGACAAGTGAACTCCAGCCCCTTATCTTCAATTCTGAAGATTTAATATGTATTATTTCATTTAGTCCTCACAATAATCGCAGAAAGGTAGAACAGAATCAATATATTTATATAGGAGAGATAACCTGAGGCCAGTAGGACTAAGAAGTTACACAAACTGTTGTTACACAGTGCAAAATCAAATCAGAGCCCCAATCTTTTCTATTTTCTACACTATACTATACTGCCTTATTGTTGTTGGGTTTTTTTGTTTTGTTTTGTTTTTGTTTTATTTTGTTTTAGTTTTTCGAGACAGGGTTTCTCCGTAGCTTTGGAGCCTGTCCTGGCACTAGCTCTTGTAGACCAGGCTGGCCTAGAACTCACAGAGATCCGCCTGCCTCTGCCTCCCAAGTGCTGGGATTAAAGGCGTGCGCCACCACTGCCCGGCTGCTGCCTTATTGTTAATTCTTCCATTTTTTTCTTTTTTTTTTTTTCCAAAGACAGGGTTTTGCTGGGCAGTGGATCTCTGTGAGTTCAAGGCCAGCCTGGTTTATAGAGCAAGTTCCAGGACAGCTGGACTACATAAGGAAACCCTGTCTTGAAAAACAAAACAAATAAACAATCAGAGACACGGTTTCTCTGTGCAGCCCTAGGTGTTCTGGAAATCACTGTGTAGACCAGACTAGCCTCAAACTCAGAGATCCACCTGCCTCTGCCTCCTGAATGATGGGATTAAAGGCATGCACCACACCACCACCCAGCAATTTCTCTTATCCATCACATGCGTATGTTTGGGTATGTTTAAAGAGATAAATATTTATAGCACAGCACAAGTGGAAAAAGCCAGTTGGTATAACCACTAACTAACATTCTCTCCCACACAGCTCTCCACAGCAGTTATGAGACCAGGACTTGTCCCCTGTTCCAAAATGTCCCCAAATGTCTCTAACAGGAATGTCAGCACACCTGAAGTTTTCACTGGCTGAGTCACTTTTTTGGGTTAAGGCGTTGTTTCCAGAAGGCCACTGTGAAATGCATGTTACCTGAAAGAGAAAAAGGATCCATTAACAAAGTACTCTGGTTAAGTAGATCTGTGATAACCATGGGAATCTAAAAAAAAAGAAAAAAAGGTCTTTATTTGCCCCAGCATAACGCCTTCAAAAAAAAGTCCATGAGAAAGATTTTGTATATAGAATAAACAAAACTTCTGGAGAAATGACTCATGCACAGTATGGGAAAACAGCCACTTGGATATGATGGACATCTGCAAATAAGGATGGCCGTATATACACATATTCTCTCCATAGGGTCACTGTAAAGTCGATTCCTACAAGTCGGATGCTCTGGAGACAGGAGCACAGTTGGGGAGCACTGATTAGCTGAGTATCATTGGTTTTAAAAAGCAACAAAAGAGCTAAGCTGGCTGTGGCTTCCCAAAAACGGTCACTACAGACTGGAGGAGGGCAGGGCCCAGGACAGCTTCTCATCAGTGCTGCTGCTCATGAGAACAGCTGCAACTTCATTTTCAGGAGTGCAAACCTCTCAACCAGGGAAGGCCACAACTCTATTGGGTGAGTCCCTTACTAATCTATACTGACTCAAAATCAGTATCATTATCAACAATTAGCATATCTTTACTGAATGCTTATTATGAACCCATAATTTGGCTAAGCACTATAAAGAAAGAAAAAACAAACTTAAATACTTATACCTTAGTTCTTATAGTGGAACCAATCCCCAAACTAAGAGAGGTACGGCCCAAGAAAGGAAAGGAAGCCTCACGACTAGCAGTTTCCTGTTAATATTAACCCAATCTCCTGAGTCAAAAGGAGTAAACTAAACCCATTTCTAAGCTAAAATTCCTCATTAACCTCTTCTCTAAGCAATAAATAGGCACAGACCAGAAGTGACAACAGATGCTTTTAGTGGTATACACTCACTTAGGCAAACTGGAGAACTCCAGAGTTTAACATTTGGTTCTCATCTAACTCTGACTCTTGACTAGTTTTAGGTAAAATATTTATCTTTCTTCTTCTTCTTCTTCTTCCTCCTCCTCCTCCTCCTCCTCCTCCTCCTCCTCCTCCTCCTCCTCCTCTTCTTCTTCTTCTTCTTCTTCTTCTTCTTTTTTGAGACAAGCTCTCACTGTATATATCTGGCTCACCTGGAACTAGCTATGCAGGCCAGACAGATGGATCTTTGTGAGTAGACTGTCTTCAAACACAAAAGCAGAATGCTAAGAGACTGGGCCAATGTAACAGTATGTATGTGGCAGATGCACACATGTGCATGCACATATACACACAGACTACCCACTAGATAACTGTTCACTGGAGATATCAGTCATCAACCATAGCATACTTCCCCAGAGAACTAACACAACAAGAATCCACTTTTTTGTGGTGGGGGAGGGAAGTAAGGATCTCACACTGAAGGATAGATTGGCCTGGATCCTCCCTAACAGTAAGTACTTCCAGAAGTTATTTCCAACCAAAGCTGGCCTACAACCTAAAACATATGTGCTACTATAAAGCAGACAATCTCTTCCGACTGTAAGGCTCAAGTACCAAGTTTCTGTGACTACAAGGAAAATACATTGAGCAAACATGGATTGATGTGCTGATGTCATATAGTCCAAAACTCAAGCTCTCTTCCAGAGATTTGACTCTTATTTCCCAAAGATGCTAATGACCATATTCTAAGAGAAAAAGAACCCTTTAACCAGCCCAGCCCTAAAACAATCCTATCAAAAAGCATGGCAACACTATTGTGTCAGCAAAATGAGGGAGACCAGCCACAGTCGCTTTCGCCCTTTCGCTTTTGCCACCAAAGCCATCTTCTTAAAACAAACACCAACTTACATCACTTCCTCACCACTTCCTCTCCTCAAAACCTTTACCTCGTAACTACAAAAAATTCAAAACGATTAGCATTGAACTTAGACGTTTTCTAGAACTGGCTCCTTTTACCTTTCTGGCCTTGAGTCTCACAATGCCCTCCTCCACTCTGCTTCCTGAACTCCTTTTCTCCCACATTCTGCCTGACACACAGCCTAGAGACAGGAAGGTATTTCCTTTCTGCGCTGCCTTCGCTTCCTTCACCTCTGCCACATTCCTACTTAACCCTAGGCCAACGGTGCTCAACCTTCCTAATGCTGCAACCCTTTAACACAGTTCCTCATGTTGTGGTAACCCCCCAACCATAAAATTATTTCACTGCCACTTCATAAATGTAATTTACTACTGTTATGAATCATAATGTAAATATTTTTAGAGATAGAGGTTTGTCAAAGTGGTTGAGAATTGATATTCTAGACAGAACTTGAGATAGCAATTTTTTTTTTTTTTGAGACAAAGTCTCACTGTGTAACTCTGGCTGGCCACTATGTTGACCAGACTGACCTTGAGTTCATACACCACCAAGCCTAGCCCTCACAGATGGGTCTTGCCACTTCCTTCAATAATTCCCACACTGGTCACTGCTACTTCCTCTCCTGTCTCAAAGCTTTTTGAGCTGTCCTTGGTACAGCCATACCATTGTTTGCATCAGTAGTTCCCAAGACCATCCCAAATACCTGAGGCATATTTTCAAATAAACTGGTAGAAGCCAATCCTGACTACAAATCAATCTAAAACTTGAACCTGAAAACATCTTCCCTTTTTTTTTCCAAAAGGTCTCAAGTAGTCCAGGCTGGCCTCCCCTCCCCACGCTACTGAGACTTAGAATCCTGGGTCTTGTATTTGGCAAGCAAGCACTCTACCGACTGAGCTGCCTACTCTACTTTTAAAAAATCTTTCCTGAGCTGGGCGGTGGTGGCACACGCCTTTAATCCCAGCACTCGGGAGGCAGAGGCAGGTGGATCTCTGTGAGTTCAAGACCAGTGTGGTCTACAAGATCTAGTGTTCCAGGACAGGCTCCAAAACCACAGATAAACCCTGTCTCGAAAAACAAAAAACAAAACAAAAAAAAAAAAAAAAAGGAAAAGAAAAAACAAGCAAACAAAAAAACCAAATCTCTCCTGGTCCAGCAGAATAGCTCATCGAGTTAGGGCACTTGCCTGATGACCTGAGTTTGATCCCTGGAACACACAGGGTGGAAGGAGGAAACACTCTTGAGGATTACCTTCTGACCTCATGACACACACTAAAAATTTCCTGAGCCTACTGAGGCAGCGTGTACCTTAATCCCAGCACTCAGGAGGCAGAGAGAGGAAGATAAGATGAAGTCTGATGCCAGTCTCTGTTTACAGTGTGTTCCAGGGCTATATAGCAAGATCATGCCTCAAAACAAAAACAAAAAAATTGAAGGCTCTTGCAATATGCCAACGGATAAATTTTGGGATCATTGGTGAGTCTGTCTCTTAATGAATATAAAGCCATTTTTAAAAGAATGTAGGACTTCTTTACTCTAGAATACTTGCTTTTGGTTTCGTATTATATCCTTGTTGATGTCTAAAGTCAGGAACTCACAATGTACATTCACTGTTCAAAAAAGAATCTCATCTTTTCTAAAATCTGGAAAATGAAGCCGTAAGTAAACCTGTGTGTGATACACAAGGCTGAATCTCATCCAATTTGCCCCTCCCCCCAAAAAAACTTTATTTCAGATGAGAACCAAGCCAGTTGCCAACCCTGAGAGTGAACATACACAGCTTTACCTACTTCTATGAGATCTCACGGATACAGAAGCACCGCACCTAAGAGCACAGTGATGGGTGGCTAGGTTGTGTTCTCTAACTTTGGGGATAGGGGGGCTCACTCTTTTCTCCCCACTCCTCCCTGCAGAACAAGTTTACTACAGCTGTTAAAGAGAAGCAGAAAATTCAAACAAGATTAGGATTCTAGACACATCCAAGAAAACAAGAGATTGGGAGACCCTGAGTTTCCGGTACTTTGAAAGTTCACCTGGTCACATCTCTAACTTTAGGCCCAATGCCTACTTCGGGTGCACTGACCCTTACACATATTTTTCTCTTTTGAAGCTGCAGCCCGGAACCATGTCTCAAAACTCCAATCTTCTACTTTTAGAGTCATGTCCTCATCAGGCTTCGACCCTTCAAATAACGCTCGCCTCTACTTTTTTCTTTGCTAAAGAAAAGTCCGCTCTGGGAAGGAAGGACAGTGACAGCTCCACGTCTGCAAAAGTCGGCGGCGCCGGCCTGGGCCGGGACCACCATGAGTGGGGACAATGGAGGGAGGAGGGGAGTGAAAGACTAGAGGGGAGGCAGCCACGGGAGAGGGTCCTCCGCGAGTGGGAGCTTGGAAAAGTCCCGGGACAGCTTGCCAGGTGAATGGTGGGCCCGGCCACCGCCCCTCAGAGGGCCACGTAGCCCGGGCGGGCCGCTGCCACCGGGCCCCGCGCGTAGGCCGGGCCGCGGGAGAGGAGCCCCCCGGCGCGGCAGCGGGGCGCGGGGCCGGACCCTGCCCACGTCCGCCGCGGCTCGGCTCTCTCCCAAGTTGGGGTTCGAGCGGCCGCCGTCTCGGGACGTCCAGGCCAGGCACTAGCAGCTCACCTCGCCCCGCTGACCCACCCGCCGCCCGGCTCGGGCCACAAGCCGGAGCTCCGGGCGCCCCCCGCGGACACCGGCTGCGGGAAGAGCAGCCTCGGCTCTGGGTCCCGACTCGCGCACCGCACCCTGCTACCCCTCGCACTCCCCGCGCCTTTCCACCCAAGCTCCCTCCTAACCACAGAACTGCTCCCAGACCGCCCGCGGGTGTTTACCGGGACTCGGGGCGGCGACGACTCCTCGGTCCCTCCACTAAGATGGCAGCCGGTCCCGAGCCCCGACTACAGCGATTAGAGCGAGTTCGCATCCAGTGCGCAGGCGCGTCCCCTCAGGCGCAGTCGGGACTACAGGTTCCAGCAGGCCTTGCGCGCTAGCCCGCTATTTCGTTTACCTCACCTCCAGGTGAAGCCGATCCAGCCTTATTCTCTACATCTCCAAGGCTTTTTTTTATATTCTTCCTTCTTTTTCCTCCCGTCTTCCTTTTTCTTTCCTCCCTTCTTTTCTGAACACTCCTCACCAACCCCCGCCCCTCGCTAGAACCCCTAAAGACTGTTACCAAACTCTAGTGTGCCTTCGAATCACTTCAACAGCTTTTAAAAACAGATTGCTGAGCCCCCACCGCCAGTTTCTAACTCCGAAGATCTGGGATGGGGTGGGGAGTGTTTTATAATTTGCATGTTTAACAAGCGCTTTAGTGATACTACTGACAGCAGGAAGTACAATTTGGGAATCGCTATGCCGGTTCAGTCCTTCTGGTTACACTGATTGGGCTCAGATTCTCCTTACTCCACCTTTTGACAGGGCGTTCTTAGGACGGTGACAGCTTGATAGTGCCAAAGCGGCAGAAGTTCTAAAAAATGAAAAACATACTTTTAAATCCTTACCCCAGAACTATGAGGAAAATGCCGTTTGTTACCTTTTCAGATACTTAAATTAAGCTGCAGGTAGGATAAGAAACCCAGGCAAGAGCATCTTGCCTATTCTCAACATCCCTCAGACGTGTATGAGAGAATTAATAGGCTGTGCAAACAGTCAGAGGCACTACTTAGGCGCTTGGTGAATATCCATTTTTGCTACTAATGTTATAGCCTGTTTCCTCCTAAGGAAACCAGCTAGGAAGTCACTTATACTTTTGGAGTACCTTTGAGACTACCATATTCTGCTTTATGTGCTAGGAGAGTTATTATAAAATAAAGATTATAGGCTAGAAAGACGGCTCAGTAGGTAAGAGCATTTGCCTTGCGAGCACTTAAACTTGGATCCCCAGCATCCATATAAAAGCTGACATAGACACACACACACACACACACACACACACACACACACACACGCCAGCAGTAGGGCCAGAGACAGGAGCTCCCTTAGTCAACCAGCTTAGACCACACAACTTCAGGTTCAAGGAAAAAGCAAAGGCAGCTGGATCTCTGATAGCTCGCAGTTAACCAGGTCTAAATAAAGAGTTCTAGGCCATCTGGGGTTACATAGTGAAACCCTGGGTTTCGGGTGTTGGGTTTTGAGGTTTTTTTTCTTTAAAAATTAAGTATTTTAAAGTTCTTCTGTACATCCAACAAATGTTTGCCCTGGTAAGAATGCTGCTGTGAGGGTAGGGATATAGCTCACTGGTAGAACGCTTGCCTAATATTGGTGAGGCC